CATTCCCCTGAGGTTTCTCAAAGTATTTTATATTACCTCCAGGGGTATATATACTACTAATCATACCAGACATTAAGAAATGAAGAAACTGCCATCCCAGCATAGCTGATTGGTTTTCCAGGATTGCCCCAGGAAGCTGCCCCAAAACTCAGTGGCTTCTAACAATAGAAACGTATTCTTTCTGGAGGCCAGAAGTTCAAAATCAAGGTGTCAGGCACAGTCTGGCTTTCAGGACCGTGGGGGGAATCCATTGCATGCTTCACGGTTTCCAGGGGCTGCACGTGAGCCTCGGTGTCCTGGCTTGTGGGGGTATCCCTCTGCTCTGTGCCTTGTCTTTCCTTCTGAGCACATTTGGCACTGGACCTAGTGTCCTCCTGAGTCCATGATGATGACACCTTGAGATCCCTTTAGCGATACCTGCAAAGACCCTTTCCATATACTCCAGGTGGACCATTTGACCGACTGCAGTAGGGCTACAGCTGTGGGCAGAATGACCCGAGGCTGGGACTGGGCTACCTGGTCTTTCGTCCAGGGTAATTCCAGCTCATATCAGCTTCCAGGGAGCTGGGCCCTTTTCTTATTCATATTTTCTCTCTCTCTTTCTCTGTCTCTCATGCTCCCACTGTAACAACTAGGCTGGCTGGGTCTGAGGGATTCTTGGTTCTGTATGATTTGGTTTTACCCCTTTGTTGAAATATAATTAACATCTGAGCGACTTTTTAAGCCCACACCTGTGCCATTGGCTTTGTAACCCGGTGGCTTTTTCTGAAGCGACAAGCTCTCTGCGTTGGTTACTGTGATGTCACCCTTTGTCCTGTCCTAGTGACGCCTGCCTGGGACTGTTGGGCTTTTCTCTCCTAGGAATTCGGGGCCTTGGTGTGGATGATGAGCTGTCTTCTTGAGCCTCTGATCCTCCTCCTTCCCCAGGTGGAGTTTTGGGCCACAGTGTGTGGGCCTCTCTTCTCAGCACCTGCCTCCTCATTCCGTACCCTGTCACCTTACTCATCCCCCCCACCCCACCCCACCCCACCCCACCCCGAGATGTATTTCTTCAAAGCTTTACAAAAGGGATTCGTGCACACCCACCTCCCCTACTTCCTAAATGGGATTAAAAATAACTTCTGTCGCATTCTCCTTTTGCACGAATCGAAAAGTGGTTGCCTTGTGCGCTCGCTCGCCCTGGACTTCCTGGTGTCCGTGGTGGACTCCAGGGCTTGTTCTCTCTAATTCCAATGAACCGTATTCTCATTTTGAGGTCACCACACGGCCTGCCTCCTGTGCCACATCACTTCTACCCCAGACCTGGGTGCGGTTTTTGCTGTCTTAAACCTGGTGTGGCTGACCCATCTTGATTTTTCCCTGGCCCAACGCATGGGGTCAGCAGCCCTCCAAAGAGCCTTGTTTGGGTCCAACCCGCATCTCAGCATGTAAACGTTGATGGGCTGTGACGTGGGTGGGTGGAGGGACGTCGCTGATGGCCAACATTGATGACAGAGCCAGAAGGGCAGTAAATCACATGGATAGTTTCGATTTTAACTCTTTTCTGATCATTTTTAAAAATTTTATTCTTTTAAATCCAATTTGTTTTCTCTACAGGATGCTAACTGGAATTTTTATAGCCTTTAGGGTGTGTGTGTGTGTGTGTGTGTGTGTATGTGTGTGTGTATGTGTGTGTGTGTCTTCCTCCTTTTTATTTTCTTTAAAATTTCATCTGAAATAATTCTTGGATGTTTTCTTAGTCACCTAGTGACGAAGTGAAGAGAGGCTGAGGAGGTGGATGGAAGCTGCTTCCTGTGAGACGCTCTTGCCTCTTGGCGTTTGCTGGGCCGTCCTGGGCAGGTGACTCAAACCCGGAGCCCCTTTCCCTAGGAGCACACTGCGGGGTGCACCTGGGTTGCAGCGTGCGAGGCTCCAGTGAGATGGAAAGTGCCGAGTGGCTGCTGTGCAGCCAGCTCTTCGCAGCTCTGTGAGGCTTCTCTGGGGCTGCTCCTGAGCCCATGCCCTTTCCTAACTCTCCAGGGTGGGTGGTGCTGGGGGTCGTGGAGGAGCATGGCTGGGAGGAGGTGGCTGTTTTTGGCTGCAGCCATGCGTGGGCCCTGGGAGAGCTGGAACCGTCAAGTCTGAAGGGAGATGGAGAATGGAAGCCTACACGCCTGCTTTTCAGTCTCTGAACCATCTCTGCAGAACCCCGGGTGGATCGTCTTGCCCCCCACCCCCGGGTCTGTGAATTGGGAGTTTGGGTGTAACCTTCACTTCACAACTGCTCGGGACCCCCAGAACTGCCGCGGGACCCCCAGAACTGCTGTGGGACCCCCGAAGTGCCCCGGGACCCCCAGAACTGCCCCGGGACCCCCAGAACTGCCGCGGGACCCCCAAAGTGCCGTGGGACCCCCCAGAACTGCCGCAGGACCCCCAGGACTGCCGCGGGTGTGATGCCCTTTTCTCTTTGCCTACTTTTCTACTGTTTTGCCTCTTCCCCATTTTCCTAAAAATAAAACGGGTATGTGCGGCCTTTGCACTTGTGTTCGTCGCTGTTGAGTCGTGATCTCTCTCTCCCTGCCCCACCCCAGCCTGTCACTCATGCTCATTACTGTAAATGCAGTGCCTTTCAATTAATTATGCTGGGAAAAGCTTATAAATGGTGTTTCTACCTCATTTCCCTAATGATAGCTGAGACACTTGTACTCTCTTCTTAATTGCTCATACTGGCTTCTTTCTTTTTTTTGAAGAGTTGGAATGATGAAAATAGTCACAACCAACAGTTACTGCCAACGCACCCCATCCCAGGCACTATGCTGAGTGCCATGCCATGCATTAATCACAAAAACGTCATCCTGTCTGTATGGCAGGTGTTATTATTATGATTATTCCCACCTAGCACATGAGGCTGGGTCACAGAGATGCTGAGTGAAACACCTGAACCAAACCCCAAAGCTCCAAGGCTCTTACTTACGAGATTACACTGCTGTCTGTCTGTGGCTATCCATCCATCATCCGTCGATTTTTAAATAAACAAAACCTCAGAAAACCTGCAGGTGCCTGCTTCTGCTCACCTGTCCTGAGGAATGGTGGGCGTGTGAGGGGCCGCTCTGTAGTTTGCTGCCAGAGAAACTGACAGGGACCAAGAGGGAGAGAAAAAGAAACTGACAGGGACCAAGAGGGAGAGAAAAGAGGTGTTCAGGTAATAGGGGCAGCTACTGCTTGCTGACTTTAAATAGATGCCCTAGAAAACTTAAAATATGTATCCAAGTTGGGGTCAGGGAGAGAGATTAAAGTGAGACAGGAAGAGCATGGGGTCTGGGTTCTCCTTGGACCTGGAGGAATGTGGAGTTGCACTGGGGGTGCCTTGGAGGAAGAAGGAACCCCAGAGGATCACAGGGCCCCCAGGGTGTAGGTGACAGCCTTTTGGGAAACCTGTTAACAACCCCAGCCAGGATTCATCACCGACATTGGTGGTCCCTGTGCCTGCTACGTGGACAAATTTCCATGCCGGCTTGGGAGTGGAGTCCCTGCTCCTATCGTCCGCTTTGCCCTTTCTGGGGCTTGGGGAGGCTCTGTTTGTTGCATAGGTGCTGAAGGAGCAGCAGCCCCATGTCCCACAGAGACAGGGTGTGCTCTCAGGGCATAAGGGCCGGGATCCGCGGCACGTGGGAAGGGCTGGTGGTAGCATCCATGCTGATGCATTAGCAGGGCCTGACGAGGAGAGCCAGGCGCGGCCCTAACGAGAGGAGAGGACACCGCAGTGAGAAGAGAGGCAGGGGGGTAGGGAAACAGATCTGGGGGCCTCGTGAGCCAGTGTCGCAGGCTCCTCGGCTTGCAGCGGGCTAGGGAGGCTGAGATAGATTGTACAAAGCCTGGAGAGCCCATGTAGAATGTGTGGGTGCAGTTTTCCTCTTAATTTTCTAGTACAGACAGACACACACACGGTTTCCTGTATATACACAGATGAGCTGCCTTTGACATCAACAGATACTTAGGAGACCCTCCCTGAGGCCAGTGCACTCAGTTAAATAGTTTTGACCCAGGGTAGGGTTTTTATCTGGGTGGCTCTGCATCCCGAGGGCGTTGAGCAATGCCTAGAGCCATTTTTTTTGGTTGTCCCACATGGGAGGCTGGCTGCCGGCTTTCAGCAGGTGGGGGCCAAGGCTGGTGCAGAGCAACCCACAGTGTCCAGGCCAGGCCCCCATGGTGAAGAAGTCTCTGACCCCCAACGATGGTTGTGTCTTGGCTGAGAAACTGTTCCACCACCATTAAATCTAAAATCTAGTTCTCCAGGACCTCATTGTTACTGTGAAAAATTTAAGCACATCAGACACTTGGGACTGCTAAGCAAATGAGATGTCACATGTGTATTTGTAAGGACAGGTTCCAAGCCCCGCTCCCCTCCCCCTCCTCAGAGGCAGCCCCCTTCCTACAGGTGGCCAAGAGCCGGTGGAGGAGTAGCTCCTTGTGTAAGGGCGTTCACCTCGGTTTCAGCGTGGCCTCTTATTTTCCCAGAAGTCAGAGCAAAGGCATGAGCAGAGAACAGCACTGTATGGTCGTGGAAATGTGCCTGTTATCTGAGTCATTTACATTTCCTGGAGGTGGAGAAACATTGTGAAGAAAAGAGGTTTTCACAATTTTAAATCAGGCTCAGACCAGAAAGCCCAAAGGTAGCAAAGGGTGGGCCCCCTTTCTCCAATGCACAGTCTGCTTCCCGAGGTGACCCAGAATCCAGCAGACTAGCTCGCCCTTGGCATTCGTTGGAGGTGGGAAGGCCGGGAGCCCCCAGCCGCCCCGTCCCCCACCCACTTGCACCCGCGTGGCGTCCCTCAGCCTCCGCTCCCGGCATCCTTGGAAGACATTTCCGCCCTCTCCACATCCTTTTCCACAGCCGGCCGGTTTCTATGGCAACGGTAAGATTGAAAGATGAGCGGGGAGCAGGAGGCAGGGCCGGAGTGAGAGGCCGGGTGGTGTGTGTCCCTGACGTCACCCTCTGGGCTTCGGGATAGGCCCATTCCGGCTACTCCCATCCAGGGCTGCTGTCCAGTGCAGCTTTATCAGCAGGGCTGCCACAGGCTCGGAGCTCTGCGGCTTGCCTCCCTTTTCTGCTCCTCCTACTCCCCCTCCCCGCGCCCCTAGGCATTTTTTTTTCTTCCTTTCTCGCTGCCCCTTTTTCGGTTTTGGCTCCAGACTGTCGCTAAGAATGCACCGTGTGGTTCCGGTGCGTCTTGGGATGCTCCTGGGCCCAGCGTCCTGGAAGGGCGGGGAGGCATGGCAGCGCCTCACTTGACGTTGACGGCGCTGTGAGGTCCCTTCTTCCCTCTGCAAGAATCCTGACTATGCAGAAATTTATCGAAGCGGATTACTATGAACTAGACTGGTATTATGAAGAATGCTCGGACGGTAATTAGGGCCAGGCCAGATGGAGCAGGGATGGGAGGGACGTCGTATGTCTGGGGGGCGAGTGGTGGTCCTGAAGCCTCCCCCCTCCCCCTGGCCCCAGGGAGCTGGGCTTTGGGGGGGGTGCAGTTGGAAGTAGCCTGACCTGCTGGCAGGCCCACTTGGCTCTGGCCGTTTCCAAGGCATGGTGGAGGGGACCGGCAGGTGGCCAGGGCCTCTCCAGCCAGAGATTCTTTGGTGCTGTGTGTAGGTCCTTTGCTGAGAAGGAGAGATGGGTTTCGGTTTTACATTGGGCTTGCAGGCGTGGTGCTTCTACCAAATCCTCTCTGGTGTGAGACGTGAGTGTGTTGTTGATGTGTATGTGTGTGTGTAAGTGGAAATGTGTTTTCCCATTCTCTGGTGCTCTGTGCTCTCCTGGGGGGTAGGAAACCTGAGGCTGGAACAGCGGATCCAGGAGGTGGCCCCCAGGTCTGTCAGCAGCAGGCCTGGAAGAATCTGTCCTTAACAGAGCCCAGCCCCAGCGGCTGCCTCAGTGTGGAGGGGTGAGGCTGGAGAAAAGGCGAGAGACTGGGCTGGGGAGGGGCGGGGAGAGGATGTCCCCAAGCCACTCTCTGGGTCTGTGCACGGAGGGAGGGTGTGGCACATTCCGGGGGATGGACAGGAGATTTCAAGCACCCAGGTGTATTCCGAGTGAGACCACAGGGGTGCGTCTGCAGGCTCTTGCCCTGTCCTCAGGCATTAGAATTGTAGATTACACAGCCTGTCCTCTTTGATTTCTTCTTGAAAAATGACCTGAAATTGCAGGCTTTTTACCAAAAAAAAAAAAAAAAAAAAAAAAAGGTCTCTCCCCAGTGATCGGTCTGGTCTCTCCCCAGTGATCAGATCTCCCCAGCACTGCTGTAGCCGTTAATAGGTAGGATGACTGCTTCTGAACTGAGTAGTTGAAGTTTCAGATCTGCATTCGACAGAGCTGGATGATGTAACTGACTGGGAGCTGGCCTGTTGGGTGGGCTGCATCCCCATCCCTGATCCTCCGACCTTTACCTTGACCATGGGCTGTAAGATGAGACCCGAAGGGCTTGCCCAGGGCATGGCAGCTTTAAATGTGCCAAGAAACTCGCCAGTGTCTCCAGAGCTAGGTGAAGCCACCATTGGGCCTGGCAGGCCCTTGCCAGGATCTTAGGTGAGAGGAGGAACCAGTGATTTCTTTTGTTTGTTTGTTTTTCCTTTGGATATATTCCTAATAGAAGCAAACTCCTGCCCTGTTCCCTGATTCCAAGAGGCAGTCGCAGGGACCCTGCTCTTTAGAGACCATCACAGACCCCCTTCTCGTTGCCCCGGGGATTTACAGCTCATGGAGCCCTCCGAGGTTTCTCAAAGTAGGCGGTTCGACACAGCCACAGTGCCCTGTTGGTGTCGGCAGCATGGGTGCAGTCGAGAGCCACGTGGCCCTCGGGTGTGTTGGGTGTGGCCACGGCACCCGTGGATGCCGTCTGGGAAATGGGGGAGGAAGGTTTCTTCGGGTCTGGCCCCTTGGCTGCGCTGTCCGGTTCTCTTTTCACATGGGAACAGAGCCAGGCTCTGGCCATGGTCAATCTGGAGGGTGAGAGGTGGCCTGATGCTATCTGGATCTCCATCAGAGGATTTTCTTACCCTCCCGGTCCTTGGCTGAGTCTTCTGGCCCCTGATCTCTTCTTTTCCAAGAGCAAGGGGAAATGGAAGAGGGGATGGCTCATCTTTCCGAGGGCTCATAAATATTGATCGCTGATGCTGTCTCAATGCCTGCTGACCAAAATCCTTGCGCTTTAACCCCTACCCCTTTGGCATGAAGGGGAGAGCACTGCTGGGGCAATTGGCATTTTGGTAGTCCCATGTCAAACAGGCAGCAAGAGAGAATGAAAGAGAGCTGAAGCCCAGAAACGTTTTGATTTAGTAAACTCGCCGGAGGGGGAATTTCATGCTAATTTTAGGTTTATTTCTTTACACCGCTGACTCTGTTGGGCTCTTTCCTGGCTGCAGGCACCTTAGCTGGGAAATATAATTTGCCCTTGTTTTCGTGCATCTTTTAAATTGCAAATCAGCATACACACAGCATTGCTTTGTGTCTGTTATCATTTTTGGCATTGGGATCAATACCATGGGGGGAACTTTCCATACAAATAATGCAAGGTGAGTCAAATGTTTTGAAAAAGATGCCAAATCATCATTTATGTCTAACTCAGCATTAGCCCTGAAAGAGAGATGTCTGCGGATGGGGATATAGATTGCAGGCCTGTAGGACCCCTCTTTAAAGGTTGGAAGAGTTGGCTGCACAGGAATTTTCTTTGGCTTTGAATCCTTCACTCCCTTTCATCAATTTCAGTTTTGATGGTTTCGTCCCCCTCTACCCACCCAGCCCACAGACCCCAGAGTATGTAATGAGAAGCACTGAGCAGGAAATTAATCAGAAGAACTTGGCGGGGTTGATTGCCTCATTCCTTAGAGTAACTGTTGGAGATGCAGTGTGGCCAGCGGTCCACACAGCTCGTTTAGCAACAGCCCTCAGTGTTTCCAGCACAACCGCTTGGTCAGACAGGATGTTGGTTGTCTCCATTGCACGTCTCCCAGCTCTAAGACTGGGAAGGTCATTGAAAAATCACCCACTTACTAAAAAGGCAGCTTCTCAGGCTCCCTTCAGATGTGGTGATGCCAGGGAATCTGACGTCTCAGCTGTGTTTGGGAGACTCGAGCCGACAGCAGCAGACAGCAGCCATGGTACAGTGAGGACCCGTGTGAACCACCCGTGTGAACCCGTGTGAACAGAACCTTGGCCACAATGGTCACAAGGGCCCAAAGAGGGCAAAGCATTATTAATTTTCCAAAAGCTCAGTTTCAAGTATATATGTTCTTTTTTTAAGAGATTTTATTTATTTATTTGAGAGGTGTAGTTGCAGACGGACAGAGGGAGAGATAGAGAAAAAGATCTTCTATCCATTGGGTCACTCCCCAGATGGCCGTAACATCTGGAGCTGGGCTGATCTGAAGCCAGGAGCCAGGAGCTTCCTCTGGGTCTCCCACATGGGCACAGGGGCCCAAGCACTTGAGCCATCTTCTACTGCTTTCCCAGGCTGTAGCAGAGAGCTGGATCAGTAGAGGAGCAGCCGGGACATGAAGTGGCACCCATATAGGATGCCGGCTCTGCAGGTGGTGGCTTAGCTCACTACGCCACAGTGCCGGCCCCCAGGGGTATATTCTGAATGTACCTGAAGGCTTGGTCCACTTCCCTGGTGCCATATAAAAATAAGGAGGGCAAGATTTTTTGTTTTTGTCTTTTTTTTTTAAAGATTTGTTGATTTATTTGAAAGAATCGCATAGAAAGAGGGAAAGACAGAGATTGATTGTCCATCCACTGGTTCACTCCTAGATAGCCACAATGACTGGGGCAGGGCCAGGCTGAAGCCAGGAGCTTCCTCCAGGTTTCCTACATGGGTAGTAGGGGCTCATCTGCTGCTGCTCTTCCCAGGCCATTAGCAGGGATCGAGATTGGAAGTGGAGCAGCTGGGATGTGAACCCGCACCCATCAAGGATGCTGGAATTGTAGGCTGGGGCTTTACCCATTATACCATAATGCTGGCCCAAGGACAAGGTGTGAGGATAAAGGAAAGAGAAAATTTAATCTGTCAGTAGATGGGGAGGGAGCAGACCTGCTGAATGAGGGCGTTTGGGAGTTTATAAAGAGACTGCGAGGAAGGGGAGCTGAGCAGGCAGAGTCAGGTAGGAGCTGCAGGTCCCTGGTGTCAGGCGCCGAGGCTCACCGCTAGGTCCACGTCAGTGCATTCCTTCTCTGTTTCGTCAAGGTGGTCCTTGAGGGCCACAGGTGGGGAGGGTGGACCCAATTGGACCAAGACCTCTTGCTCTGCAGAAGAAGCTGAGATAAGAAAGGAGGCACCTTGTGCCCTGAGGCATCAGCTTCCTGGCTGTATGTTAAATTGTGTGTCTGTGTTGTTTGATTTGTTAATGTAACCAGGTATTAAGACTGCCACTTTGTAGTTATTCTAGAAACTGGTAGAGTGGTAAAAAGAATGCTGGCCTGGAGTCTGTGTTTGAAGCCTGCTTTGTACTTTGTGGTTTGGGGACTTCTTTGGACCTCTGAGAGCCTCTGTAAGCCCAGGATCCCCCAGGGTGCAGGGGCCCAAGGGCTTGAGCCATCTTCTGCTGCTATCCCAGGCCATAGCAGAGAGCTGGATTGGAAGAGGAGCAGCTTGGACTAGAACCAGTGCCCATATGGGGTGCCGGTGCTTCAGGCCAGGGCTTTAACCCACTGCACCACTGCGCTGGCCCCAGAAGCACTCTTTAGTAAACATTGAAGAGCTGGGCCAATGCTTCCTCTTATTTTTCTCAACAGTTGTGGTCCTGATTAAGTGTTTTTAATTTTATTTTTTATTTATTTGAGAGGCACAGTTAGAGAAGGAAAGAGAGAGGGAGAGGGAGAGAGAGAGAGAGAGAGATCGATCTTCCATCTGCTGGTTCACTCCCCAAATGGCTGCGTTGACCAGGGCTGGGACAAACCGAAGCCAGGAGCCCAGGAGCTTCTTCTGGGTCTCTCCTGTGTAGGTGGGGTCATTTGGGGAGTGAACCAGTAGATGGGAGATCTCTCTCTCTCTCTCTCTCTCCTCTCTCTCTCTCTCTCTGCCTTTTACATTAGAAAAGGAATCCCTTTGAAAAGGCGAGTGGCTTTTTGAATCAGGCACAGTATTTGGAACACCTGTTCCTTGTGACAGTTTGTTCTATAGGTGGGTTTGTTCTCTGTCCGCACTCACCCCTCTCTCTATACCAGTGTAGATCTGAATGTCAGGGTGGGAGGTGGTCGAGTTCACACTGATTTTATAAATGATGGTGAATCCATAACCGTGCACAAGGGCAACCACGCATTGTTGGCTGGATTGCAGTGACCTCTGAAAGGCCCCCTCAAGGTAAAGGTGACTGGCTGTCCAGTGGAGTTTTGTCAGGAGTGTTTCTGGCCT